GGTCAATCGGCGGAGAAGTGGGACTAAATAACCCCGACCCAAAAAAAACATGTCGGGCGACAGACCTGCGTCCTCCAAGTTCCAAAAGCGAGCAGTATAGGAATGGGGGGGGGGGGGGGACTGTTGAGACATGAGCCATGGAACAAGCAGGCGAGCCAGTAACCCATCCGAAACCAACAACATGCAGCACCGACAGGACCGCATCAAATGTAGACCAACACAAAAGACACAAAAAATATCATCCCGGGCGCGAGACCCCCGGCACTCCCCCCACCCCGTCCCCCACCTGTCAAACCCTGCGTACCCCCCCACGGGAGAACAGCTGCTGTCGCCGCCGCCACGCGCCGCGGCTCCTCGCTCAGAAGCTCTGCTCCCAGCCCCGCTCCCCGGCCTTCTCAGAGGCGTTTCCGGCACACCTGCCCCCGCTCCCGCCCCCCCGACATTTCTTGCTTGTTCCAGAGCGGCGGCTATCCCCCCCAACCCCCTCGTACTCTTGCCACCACCGCCCACCATCTCCAGCCTGGCCGGGGACGGCGGGGGCGCAAACGCATCGTCTTCCTCCCCTCCCCCCATGGACCGCAACGAGACCCCGCCGCCGCGGGTCGTGCGTCGGGAGCCTCCGCCGCCGCCGCCGCCGCCGCCGCCGCTGCTTTGATCGTCGTCGTCGTCCATTGCCGTGGATGTAGGGGAAGGGCCCGCGCCGCCGCCGCCACCGCCGCCGGCCGGAGAGGCCATAGCTGGAGACTCGACCGCTCCATCGGAGGTGCCGCTACCGTAGGGCTGACGGAGGCAGTCTAGCTGGAAGGATGGGTAGTAGGAGCTAGGGTCGTGGTCTCCCGCCTGGGGAGGGGAGGGGAGGGGAGGGGAGGGAAGGGGTGGGGTGGTGGAAAAAGAAACAAGAAGGCAATCAAGGAACCGCGGTGATGACGACGATCATCGGCAATGTAATCATCTAAATAGCTAAATAGCATCTACAGACGACGGAAGTGTGTAATGGGACATCGGCACGCACACGATGGTAGGTATACCGCACTCCGATTCGCGGGACGACCCATGGCGTTGTAGCGTTGTAGTGTTTTCCTTCGATACGCAAAACAAACGATATAGGCTCAAACAGACTCAAAACATGCCCAGTTTCCAGTCGGTTTCCCTCCACTCACTGAAAAGACTTGAACACATCCCTTTCGACTGAGGTTGTATCTCGAACGGGTATTGAAGTCTTTCTGTGATAACATGTAAACTTTCTGAACAGCAACGCAAGAAGCAAACTGCTGATGAACACGAGATACAAGAGAACAGCGGGGTTCATACTGCAAACACCAGCAATCGAAGGGCGGGCAGAAACCAGAGCGCCTTCAGCCGCAACTGACATCAAAGAGACAAGCTTACGCCGTTTGCCGCACAAGTCACCCCCTCGTCAAAAACAGGGACGGCTGTGGTATGATGTCGAACTGGCAGTCTTTTTTGCCCGTACACGTTCAACAAAAAAAAAAAAAAAAAACATATTTACTTTACCGACCTCCAGCCAACGCACGCACCTCCAGCGGTTCCCCGGCGGAGGCATCCCTTAGGTTCACCCCCCAGGAGGGCATGGGAGAGGGGCCATCGAGGCCGGCGGCGCGCGAGGACGGCGGCGGCGGTTTCCTGACGGTGGCCGGGGTCTGTACAGCCTGCGGCACGGCGAAAGGCCGGGAGGCTGCCGCTCCTCCGCCTTCCCCACCGAGCACCTGTGCAAATGTAGTTCGTTCGTGGTGTTTTAGGGGTGTCATTGTTGTTCTTGTTTTCTTGTTAGCAGTGTTGGTGGTGGTGATTGGTGGTGGTGGTGGTGGTGGTACTGTTGGAGGTGGGTGGCGACATCTTTGCACTGCTGTTGCCGCCGCTGCGCTAGTGAAAGAGGTTGCCGCCATCGAATGTCGAGTGCTGGTACACAGAGAACAAACCGCTGTTATTGCAGTTCAGAGAAACATGACGGAAGGGAGGCTTCTGGCTCGTCACCCTGCTAAACAAATACCGAACACTCCACCTTGGGCAGTCTAGCCTTGACAACTACACACACAAGAACTTCAACCAACTGAAAACGGTGACCATACAGTATGCACCAGAAAGAAAAGTATCTTGGAGTATGGCGCCTCCGTGAAGAATCCTACACAAAAAAGAAATAGCCGCTGCTACACCGCAGAGGACCTAAAAAACCTAGTCTCGGGGCAAACTACTGCTGTGCATACAAGGCACGGGCTTCTCGAGGGTGGGGGCATCTGGTCTAAATGCCGGCTGTTGTCATGCGCTACAGTGTTCACGCGCATGATTATTGTGTCTTGGAAAAAACTGCTGTGTCCCGTACATATGGTAGATCGGCTTGGAAATCGTTTTTGCTGCCAGTTGTCTCTCCGAGGGATGTCTTGATATAGCTGTATATCAACAACACAGGCGGTCGTGGAAACAAGCTATTGTAGAAAACCAACCACGGCGCATGCACATACGTTTGCATAGGCTGTCAACAAGATGCTTCCGACGACACAGCTTCCGTTGTGCCGTATGGTACGGTACAGCGGAGGACTACTGTGCGGCGGTGCCGCGCGGTGCCAGGGACTTGGAAATCCGGCTCTTAATTTTTTGTGCCGGCCGTCGTGGGTACTGTACTGCTGTCGCGGAATACCGTAGGCTGGTCTTCACGCCAGCTGCAATGCACAGCAGGCACCACTGCTGCAATGACCGCTGTCTGGTTGACAATTGACAGCACTCGCTGCCCACCAGTTGACTGACTGTTTACTCATCATCACTGAAGGGCAGGCCATTCCGCCCACCCACGTCTTACAACAACGCTCAACCCCTGCACAACAGGAGCATACGCCGAATCTCAGATAACGACGGGGCGAACACCGAGCGCATGCTCATGGCATCGGCGGAAAACGGCGGAGACTACCGCTGTGTGCAAAAGAGCTTGCCTCTCTACATCGTGCCCATCTGTCAGGCTTTCAGATCGACATCAGACGCAGCCTTCGCTGTACGAGTCCCGGTCGGACACCACGGAAAACAATATTAATATTCGGAGAGTCTCGGAGCCACCCCCCGCCGGCTTCAACGTACAGCAGCGGCGAACGGGCTTTTATCCTTCCGCAACCCCTTATACTGCCACTCTGTTGCACGCTGTTGCATGCGATGGGCCGATTCGGTCAGTGTCTTAGGCTTGATTCTGTGGCTTTCGAGAGGTGGTTCAAGATGCATGTCAACAAAACTCGTCTGCCCTGGTTTTCTTACCACGGCTCGGAAACGCTCAACAGGAGCAGTCTTCGCCTTGCTGCCAAATTTGCAAATCACCACGTGCAAAACCTAGTCCTCCCCCCCCCGCGAACGGCAAAATAACAAAACAACGCAACCAAACTCTATACATCACTTATCCTGCAACTCGTGACCACCGAAAGCGGGCGCAGGGTTCGAGGGGGCTTGCGCATCTTTGTGGATGTTAAACCATGCCACACCCCAAGATGAATAAATACACCAACGGCCGAATCGTGGCGATGGAGACTTCCCCACAAGTGTGCCGAAAACGTGCACATATGAGCAAGACAAATTCGTTTCTTGACGCGGGCAACGGTACAAAAGCCGCTACCCACCCAGCACGAAGTACCACATGTTAACCGCAACGACCAACGGCGTGGAGGACAGCACGCGGATTCAGCAGCAGTGCTCACCTTTGCCCTCTTGACTTGACGAGGGTTATCGGTACGGGAGGGAGGGCTGTTGAGGCTCATCCTGCGCAGCACCTCTTGCGCCGACCTCGTCGGGCTTGACCCCCGCGCCGTCTCGGTCGCAGCTCCGGCATCCATGCTCCCTCTCGGCTCAACGCTCCTCCTTGCCTGTCCGTTAAGTAGCAGCGGTGGGAGCCCAAGCAGCTTAAGGCCTTGTTGTCAACACCTAGTGTCGAGAAATATGATGCACCCCACGCGCAGCAAAGGGAAAGTCCCCGTGCCTGGGCCGCCCTTGCGTACGACCTCCGATCGATGCAACTTGTAGATGCCTCGGCGGGAAAACGCTGCAGCGCTTCCAAGTTGAGACGGCGACACTGCAGTACCGACTGCGGAGGCAGAGGGAACTCGTGCGTTCTCGGGGCTTGAAGGGGAAGCGCAGTAGCCGTGTGTGAGCGCTCTTGTTTGCCGTGGTGTGCCCGCCAAAAACACGGCACCCGGCCTTTCCTTGCCCACATTTAAAAAAAAATCGAAAAAAAATAGTAGGACACATCCCCGCTTGTTGGTGTTCGCCTTCCTGCCACTGGAACTCTAACTCGGGGGGCACGCAACCTGGCATTTCGGTTGCCACAATTTGGCCCGGCCTTCTAAGTCGCGTCTACGTCTAACTCCGTTTCCACGGGAGAGGCACGTCTATCCCCCAATATGGCGACTAGGCACGTCGTACAGTCGTCTAACGCAATGGGGGATGCGACTGGGTTACTGTTAAGGAGCTGTCTCGACGACTTAACAGGACGTTAGACGCAGGGAAGGAGTAGCTCGCTCTCTTCCGCCTTCCGCCCTCCATCTCTTCTCTCTCCAACCCTCTCTCCCCTCCGTTCTCCGTAGAAGTACCTCCTACCAAAATGGAAGGAAGGATGTTTGCATGTTTGCACTCAAATTTTGAAAAATTTGCCCGCCGAAAATGTTCCGCGCTCCGGCCAAGGCCCTCACGCCTTGACTCACGCCTCACGCCAACGCCGCCTCACACACTCCACACTCCACACTCCACACCTACTTTACGGCCCCCCGAGTCCCGAGTCCCGAGCCCCGTTATGTCTTTGACCCCACCAGCATCGGCTACAACGCCAATGGCGGCGGTGTCGCTTACTACCACGACACACAACGCGTCCGTCGGAACGGCCTCAAAACGGCCTCCACCCCCGTGTCCTTGGTCGGGACCAGCACATCTCCAGTCGTTGCTCCTGCTGCAGAGGAGGCTGCTGCTGGAGCTGCTGGTGCTGCTGCTCACCCAGTGCCTCCGGGAGGCACACAAGCACCAACATCTGGAGCGATGGACAAGTTTGTGCAGCCATATGTTCCAGGGAGTAATGAGGCTGCGCACATCTTCGTCTTGGCGAACAAGCCTGCAGCCGCTGCCGCCGGTCGCCAGCGGAGGAGTGTTGCTGCGGCTCCGGCCACGGGAGCAAGTGACAACAGCACAGGCAAGCGATCTCGAGGGGTGAACGGACTTTCGTCCTCCAACCCGAAAACTATTTCGGCAAGCTCACGCTGCAGGACTTTTCCGGGTGAGGGCCTCGTCGTTTCCGCGGGCGCCCTCTACTGCGAACCGTGCGCCAAGCGCCTGGGGACTTGCCTCTCCACGATCAGGGCCCATTGTGGACTCCTGAAGGACGGTAGTCACAAGGCGGAACCCAACCAGCACATGCAGAAGCTGGAGGTGCACTTGGCCGCAGAGTTCGAGGCGCCTAACAGGAAGACTCGCTTCACGCAGTACTGCAACAAGAGGCGGGCCGTATACGGGAAGACCGTCGATCCCGAGGTCAACGACAAGCGCTGCAAGGTGATCAGAATATTTTTTTTCAATCGTCGACATTCTCTTTATTTTGGAACAGCACAGAACGAGGTGAATTTTGCTCTGCATATCTTGATGTACTTCGCGACTAACCTTGTTTAGACCATGTTATCCTATATAAGTGAACAACGACCAAATTTCTTCATTGGTCAGCCATTATTGTGCGTACGCCAACAGCAGCAGCAGAGTAGTAGAGTGGACTTGCTGCAGTATTTCCCTTCAAGTCGTTTGCATACGGCTGTGTGAATTTTCCATACAAGTCGAGCCAGCAGCAGATAAGGGGGTTACTCTTTGGCCGGGCACACGGTTACGTAATGTGATGATGATTCCTGAATTCTCCTTCGCTCGGGTTGTTTTTTCAATAAGAAGATTGGTTTGAAGTAGGCACCTGCTGTCCCCTATTGTTTTGCTCTGGTTCTACCGTAATAGTTCCGCTTCTGGTTCTGGTGCTTGCTCGGCCGCCTCACCTCCCATGTGCCTCACCCCCCACCTGTGCTTCTGTTATATTCCAGCTAATCACTCAAGTCATGGGTGCCGGAATATCACTCTCCAAGCTTGACCCTCTCCGGAGCATGTTCACCAGCCTCGGAGCAGACATGGTGGGGTCATCGAAGTCGAAGGAGTACATCGGCTTCATCAACGAGGAGCAGATTCGCTCCATTCGTCAGGACATCCTTGGCAAGGACATCGGTATTGCCATCGATGGGACG